TGCTTGGAACTCAACCTACACTGCCATTGAAATTGGAAACCCCGAGACATCGAGCATCCATTTGGTCGGTGTTCTCAACCCTGCCAGTGAGCAAGCACAACGGTGGGCACCTATCCTCAAGGTTGTATCCGAGCTTGAGGGCGTATATCTGAAGCTCTTCCTTAACCCGAAGGACAAGATTGACGAGCTGCCTGTGAAGAGATTCTTCCGATATGTACTTGAGTCAGAGCCGACGTTTGATGAAGCTGGCAAGGTTCGCGCACTTGAGGCATCCTTCAAGAGCTTGCCCTCCGAGGCTCTTCTTAACGCCGGCATGGACGTCCCACCATCCTGGCTCGTTGCACCCAAAGTCTCGCCCTTCGACCCGGACAACATCAAACTCAGCTCCATCAAGTCGAACGTGCACGCCTCATACGAGCTTGAGAGTATCCTCATTGAAGGACACTCCCGTGAGGGAGGACAGTCGCAGCCTCCCCGCGGTGCGCAGGTCGTTTTGGGCACCGAGAAAGAGCCTCACTTCGCCGACACCTTGATCATGGCCAACCTCGGATACTTCCAATTCAAGGCAAACCCAGGTTTTTACAACATCAAGCTCAAGGAAGGCAGGAGCACCGACATTTACACCATCGATAGCATTGGTGCGAAGGGATGGGCTCCTGTGCCGGGCGATGAGGGCACCGAGGTGGTGCTGATGGATTTCCAAGGCACGACTCTGTACCCTCGCTTGTCACGCAAGCCAGGTCAGGAAGAGTCGGACGTGCTGGCCGAACCCGAGGACAACAGCATCGTAGGCCGCGGCCTCAAATTCGCTGAAGGCATCCTGGGCAAGAAGAAGTCAGCATCTGACGAGGAGCACGCCGAGATCAACATCTTCTCCGTCGCCAGCGGCCATCTCTACGAGCGCATGCTCAACATCATGATGGTCAGCGTCATGAAGAACACCAAGCACACGGTCAAGTTCTGGTTCATTGAGCAGTTCCTGTCCCCTTCCTTCAAGGACTTCATCCCGCACATGGCCAAGGAATACGGTTTCAAGTACGAGATGGTGACCTTCAAGTGGCCTCACTGGCTGCGTCAGCAAAAGGAGAAGCAGCGCGAGATCTGGGGTTACAAGATCCTCTTCCTCGACGTGCTCTTCCCCCTCTCCCTCGACAAGGTCATCTTCGTCGACGCCGACCAAATCGTCCGCACCGATATGATGTCCCTCGTCAACCACGACCTTGAGGGCAAACCCTACGGCTTCACCCCCATGTGCGACTCCCGCACCGAAATGGAAGGCTTCCGCTTCTGGAAACAGGGCTACTGGGCAAACTACCTCCGCGGACAACCCTACCACATCTCGGCCCTCTACGTCGTCGACCTCCGCCGCTTCCGCGAGCTCGCCGCGGGCGACCGCCTCCGCCAGACATACCACTCCCTCAGCGCCGACCCCAACAGTCTCGCCAACCTCGACCAGGACCTGCCCAACCACATGCAGTTCCAGATCCCCATCCACAGCCTGCCGCAGGAGTGGCTGTGGTGCGAGACGTGGTGCTCCGACGAGAGCCAGCGCGTGGCCAAGACGATTGACCTGTGCAATAATCCGCAGACAAAGGAGCCCAAGCTCGATCGCGCGAGGCGCCAGGTGCCCGAGTGGACCGTCTACGACGACGATATTGCCGCCCTCGACCGCAAGCGCAAGGGTCTGCCCGCTGAGGCGCCCAATGTTGTCGTAGACGAGTCTGAGCAGAAGCCTCTTATCGTTGAAGAGGTCGAGAAGAACACCAAGAGCCGCAACTGGGAGGAGCCGCCCTCGGAACAAACGCATGTTAGAGACGAGCTATAGACATTCACAAGATTTTTTAGTCAGAGAACCTAACGATTCTTGTGTAGAGTTGCGCAGCATTACGTAGAAAGACAGGAAAGAAACGAACACTCGCATTCCATGAAATGTTCTTTTATTTTGACTTGATCTTGAACGTAGAAACGAAACGCTACGCTCGACATGCCAACACGCCTTTTCTACAGACGTGAATATTTCTAGCTCATGTAGTATGTTCATAAGGACTTCTCATAAAGTCCGTTGTATCAAGCAAAGCCCCCCGCAACACCTTGGCCATTTCCGAATTCATGACGCCAATCACCCTCTGTTGACTCCTTTAAAGACAAAGAAGCCACATATTCATAATGCATGCACATACCCTTCCGTCAAAGACAACACTCTAATGCGAAATATACTGGAACACAGCAGACACCTCCGGCTCCCCACACTCCTGCCTCAGGAGCAGATCCTGAATCGGTTTCAACCCCTCATTTACAAAGTGATTCCACGTGCTCGTGTCGCCGTACAGCATGGCAGGCGACTTCATATACTGCCTGCCATCGGGCTTGCACCGCTTACACTTGAACGTGTCGTGGGTATCAGACTTGGTACCGGGCCGGTACTGGAACAGCTCGCGCAGACTGTCGAGCGAAAAGTGCCGCTCAACGTCCTCTGCGGAGTCGACGACACAACTGGACAGTGATTGCTTGTGAGACTGGCGCTGGAAAATCTTTTCCTCAATGGTGCCCGTGGCGATGAAGCGGTAGACGAAGCAATCCTTCTTTTGGCCGTCACGCCACACACGGGCGAGAGCTTGTTGATCTGCGGCGGGGTTCCAGTCGGGGTCGAAGAGGACCAGGCGGTTGGCGCCGATGAGGTTGAGACCGCAGCCACCGGCCTTGGAACTGAGGAGGAAGACAAACTCCTCTCCATCCGGGTTGTTGAACTTGTCGACGAGCTTCTGGCGCTTGTTGACGTTCATGGTGCCGTCGAGACGCAGGCAGCCGTAAGCGCGGTTGCGGCAGAGCTTCTCGAACAGATCAAGCGTCGATGTGTAATTGCTGATAAGCACAATTTTGTCGTTTGTGTCCTGGCGGATACGGGCGAGCATGCGGTCAAGGACTTGCATCTTGCCTGAGTACCAGGGCTTGATATCTCTATCTCTGCCACGCGCCTCTTTCGGGACATAGTCATCGGGGTAGCAATTCTCTGAGCCGGGCAAATCATCCGAAATGTTGAGCAGATCCGGGTGGTTGCAGAGCTTCTTGAGGATATTGATGGCTTTGAGGGGTTGACTGCCCTTGCCACGGAGAAGCGCCTGAATGTCCGGACTCGTGATGAAGTAGTTGTAGAGATCCAGCTGGAAGGGTGCGAGATTGCAGAACACAACATGTTCATACTTGACGGGCAGGTACTTGGACAAGATGTCGTTGGTGCGGCGAATGATGAACTTGTTAACAATGCCCAACAGCTCAGCCAGGCACTCATCGCCCTTTTTCCGTTCAGACTCGAGTGCGTCAGCGTCACGTCCGCGGAGGATCGGAAGCTCGAATCTTTTGCGGAACTCCAGACGAGTACCAAGCAGATCAGGATTGGCAAAGCTGATCAAGGCAAAGTACTCGGATAAGTCGTTCTGGATGGGAGTTCCAGACAGAATGACTCGTCTTGTGACATTCAGGTTATTGAGCGCACTGAAAGTCTGACTGTCTCCGTTCTTGAGACGATGACCCTCATCGCAAAGCATCAGGCCAATCTTGGTGTGCTTCAACTCCTCCACGTTGAGACGCAGGGTCTCGTAAGACACGATAATGACTGGTCTCGTGACTGCTCTGCCGCTCGCAATGGCCCACTGACGCAGCTGTCGCGTCAGCTCTTCCTTTGACGCCTTTCCGTCAATTGCAAAAGGCGTGACGGCGTCAGCGCCAAGCCACTTGACCAATTCGTTGGCCCAGTTGCGCACCAAACTGGAAGGGCATGCAACGATGGCCTTCTGGATGGTGCTTTTTCCAGCATCCGGGGATTGCTTCAGGAGAGTCCAGAGCAAAGTGATACACTGAAGGGTCTTGCCGAGACCCATCTCGTCTGCCATGATGCAGCCATTGGCCTTCTCCTCAATCATGCCAGTAACGCATCTGTACATAAACTTAACACCCTCAACTTGATGTGGTCTCAGAACCTTGGCCAGTCGTGGGTCGATGACGACGGGAACCCGGGGGTGCTCTCCTTCAACCTTCTTCTTGATTCCTAGGATCTCAGCCAGACTCTTGTGGACGAGAGGCGCGTCAATCTTAGTTTCGGCCTCAGCATCCTTCTTGTCTTCCTTCTTTTCGGGCTCTTTGGGCTTATCGTCAATGGTCGGGTCGTATAGCACAATGGCGAACTCGCCACTGGGGTCGTGTAAGGGCTTCGCAATGAACTGTGCTCCAGTGCGCAGACCAAGTGTTGGTGGAGGTCGGTTCGGGTTGTAGGCACTGGAATCCTTGTTGATCAAAGGTATCGAGAATGCCTTGCGAAACACAGTTGACTTGTCCTTGGCCTGAAATACGGGGAATCTATTCGCATCTCGATTCGCTAAAGCCAGGCGATCGGCATTTGTGTAGGGCTTATCGGCGTCGGTCTCGCCATCAGCACCCTTGTAATCGACCCTTCTCTTCTTTCGCGCCGGTCTGTCGGTTGCGACTGTTCTCGTTGCTGATCCGGGACATTTGAACGGTCTTGACAGCTTATCAACTGACTGAGGAGTCGGCCATCGCTTAGACGGCACGTTCTCCTTGTTCGCGATCGGGGTGGCGGTGACGTCGACAGTCCTGTGGAAGGGTTAGTTAATACAGCGCCGTGTTAGTTGGAGAGGCATTGGACTAGAATTGCGTACATTTTGAGCCGCGATTTGTGCAGTAGCAATGCTGCGGTTGCAGGATATGCGCAGTCCCGGGGTGGTTATTCGCAAAGACCAGCAGAGGAGTGGCGGATGAAGAGGAGGGAAAAGAATAGGGCCAATGTTCCCGGTCGAGGGCCCGATGTTGTGTTGGGGCAAAGCGCGACTCGACCCGCGTCGCCACTCAAACACGCTTTCACGTGCACCAGGCACCAGGGCCCATCTATTTAGCCTGCTTACCTCACCAATGCTTACCTAAGACATCTCTCTGTAAGTATAGTCTGTCGCCCACTTACACCCGTCTCTTCCACCTCAAACTCGCAGTTATCGATCCCAAAAACAACAACTTCACGAGACATTCAACGACGACTTGACGCGTCATTCTCTTGGATGGCTATAATCCTTCGTCAGGTTTTCAATGTCAAGCGACATGCTTTGCTACCAAAATGTCTTCAATGATTGACCAATTGTGCGGCGCAGCCAAGCCGTGCGTGAGAACCAAAGTTGGCGCCGTCCTAGTCTTGCTCCTAATGATGCAGCTGACGATTCTTCCAAAGTCATACGTGGCTAAGTAAGTCATGATGCCTGGCTTACATTCAATTTAGCAATTACAAAAGCGTTTCAGTCCCCGTACAATTCTCTTTATCTGGTGAGGATTACGAGAAAGAAAATACCCTGTAAGATGCTCCCCGGTCTACAGCCATGTCGTCTGGGACAGCAAAGTTCGAATACAGCCACCGTATCGGCAAGGAAACCATTCGTCTTGTGCGCATCCTAGGTTGCGGAGCATCTCAAGATGAACCGTTGCAGCTTTCACTCGAAGAACACGCCGTTGCTGACCTGCCAGCATACCGAGGCCTCTCTTACACATGGGGGTCGCCCCTCGCCATGAAGGAGCCCTCTCGGCAAATCGAACAGCCCGTGACAGTCTCGGTGATACTCAATGACCACAGCTTCGAATTATTTCCGAATCTGCACGATGCGTTATGTTGGATCCGAGCGCACAACTCCTGTGACCTGTACTGGATCGACGCCATCAGCATCAACCAGGCCGACGACACTGAGCGCAGCATGCAAGTCGGCATCATGGACCGTATCTACAAAAAGGCCACCCGCGTTGACATATGGCTAGGCTCCGTCACCGAAGAGCACTACCCGGCTGAGGTATCCAGACTTGTTCGTACAATGGCCGAGAATACCCAGCGAAACTTCAGCTTCGACCAGGAAAACTCTTTCTTCGACGACGATGCTCTGAGTAAATACGGCCTGCTACATGTTCCGGATGATGTGTGGTACGCCTTTGTTGCCTTTTTCGAACGCAAGTGGTTCAACCGCGTTTGGGTCGTCCAGGAGGTTGCCTTGTCAAAAGACGCCTGTATTCTCTGGGGCAACGATGTTATTCCTTGGGAGACGGTGGCATTTTGCTCCGACTTTTTGTATGAAAGTCGTCTGTACGAACAGTTGTCGGAGGTTTTGTACAATGACAACCCTACGATCAAGGACGTCAAGATTGGCAGCAATTCGTCGGGCATCGTCGCAATCCAGAGGTGTAGACGCGACATTCTCGATATGTGGGACAGCACCACACTAGATCACATAGTAGGTCCTCTCGCCTGCACCGGCGGAAGCAGCAGAACGAAAACAGCGGGTGCGCTGCTGTTCCTGATGCTACGGCTGACGGTCGGAGTGGAAGCCACCGACCCTAGAGACCAGGTCTTTGGTCTGTTGGGCATCCTCAACCTACTTTTGGATCTCAGTGGCCGCACGAGGACGGAGCTGGAGGCCAACTACCGCAAGCACTGCACGCCTGTCAGTATATACACCGACACGGCAGTCTTCATCATGGAAGAATGCAATAACCTGGCTCTCCTGACGGCGGTTCCTGATGACTCGGTCAAGAAGCTTGAGGGTCTGCCGTCCTGGGTGCCTGATTTCTCCGCAAACGGCCCTTCTGCCTTTCTAGCGATGAGATGGCCCGCCGAGATCCCATATTTTGATGCCTGCCGGTCCATGCCGACGAACTATCGAGTCGTCGATGACAGGCTCCTCCACGTCAAGGCCTTGTGCGTCGGCACGATATCATTGGTGGGCGAGGTATACTCTGAGCTAGCGACCAACGGGAGCTTCACGCAATGGGCCGATTTCCTCTTGCAATGCGATCCCGTATATCAGCCGACAGGGCAGTGTCGAGTGGAGGCGTTCTGGAGGACGTTGATCGGTGACCGAGACGCGTTCACGCACCCCGCCCCGGACAGCCTGCGCAAGGCGTTCCACTCCTGGATCACAGACCACGTCGTGTGGGAGGTTTACTGCGCCATGAAAAAAGGCGCCGATATTGAAGAGCACATCAGCCGTCTGGAGAGCATCAAGAGACTCGCCGCATCGGATGTCAGCAAGACGGTGCCATCGTGCGACATGATCATGGGGTATTTGAAGCAGCTCAAGGAATGTGAGAAGAAGGAGCAAGTCGAGGGGCTGTTTGATCGCTTCAAGCACACCTGCCAGGTGTATGTGAATCTTGCGTTTGAGACACTCTGGGAGAGGCGGCCATTCCTGACGGATAGTGATCACATGGGACTTGGAGGTCAGTCTGTGCAAGATGGCGATGGGATATGGGTGGTGGCTGGCTGTCCGTCACCGCTTGTGCTTCGAGAGTTGCCGGTGTCTTCTATTTCTGGGCCTTTTAGCTATCGATTGATTGGGGAGGCCTATGTGCACGGCATCATGCACGGGGAAGCCGTTATTAAGGATGCGTTGTGGGAAGATATTTGCATCCAGTGACAACATGTTTGCTGATACTGCTTACAGCATGTGGCATCATTTTGAGGTGTTCATAAGAAGATTGCCATAATACACTGAATCGAAAATCGTCTTGAGCAAGGTGAAGTGAACGGTGTACCTCGGTGACTGTCCCACCGAGACTTACCGAAAAGTCTCGGTGAGACCTGACCCCCACAATTGGAGCTCTCTAGGGTACCTGCTGACACCAGAAATCAGGTGAGACATTGGGCCAGACGGTCGGCGCCCCTCATACCTCACTTCTGCGGCCCCCAACTCCATCTCTTCAACGCGACACAACCGGCGCAAGCCCGCATTCCAACGTTCTTTGTCGGGCGCACTCTTATCTTAGATACGTTGCGCTGACTGCTTGCGATTTCATTGACTCGCATCTAAACTCAATTGACCTCACAGCTGCATATCGACGCTCATGCCCCCGCGCCTGACGACAGCTCCATCTTCACATGCTCCGCATCAAATACCACTACCACGTCTAGGTATTCGTACGGATACGCCCGCCCGCAACGTCTCTAGTCAGGGTGGATCTCAAGCACCCCCGGCCCCCGGTCCCACGGCACCTCTCCGCTTTCACCAAGCTTCCCTCGGTCCCGTCTCGAACGAAACAAAGCACGGCTCTCTCGCTCTCTCTTCATCAACCCCATAATGGCTGACCCCTCCCCCTCCTCATCCTCCTCCTCTCCCGGGACCCCGCTCCGTCCACCCTCTGCCCGCATCTTCTGGATCGTCGACAACTGGCCCTCCATCCTCGGCGGCACCGTCCTCACTCACTACGCACACTACCAGTACCTCTCCCGCGTCCGCAGTCCGAACCCGAACCCGCTCAAGAATGCCCGCTTCTGGGCTCTAGCCTCTGGCGGATGGATGCTCTCCTACCTCGGCATATGCACCGGAATCGCCGTCGCCCAGGCCAAAGTCAACCACTACCTCGACCCTGACAACCGCCTTCAATACCGCGATTCCTAAAGTACTCGAACGTTCCTGCTAGCTACAAGCACACAATTGTCACCAGAAACTTCACCACCCTCAGCCAGCCAGCCCACCATGTCCGCCGACTTCTGGGCCGGCTACATAAGCGGCGCCGTAGGCATCATCATCGGCAACCCCCTCGACCTCCTCAAAGTCCGCCTCCAAGCCCGCCCGGCCTCCGCACCCTCGACACCCCTCCCCTCCTCCCCGCTCCCGCTCCCGAGCCCCACCGCAGCCGCAGCCGCATCCTACCTCCGCCACTTCGAATCCCCCGCCTCCCTCGTCACCGGCTCCGCCGCCCCGATCCTAGGCTACGGCGCCCTTAACGCCCTCCTATTCGTCTCCTACAACCGCACAGCGGCCGCCCTCAACCGCGCCCTCGACGTCCAGTCCAGCCTCTGGACGACATGGCTCGCCGGCGCCGTCGGCGGTCTCGCTACCTGGGTCGTGAGCACACCGACAGAGCTGATAAAGTGCCGCGCCCAGCTCTCCTCCCCGCCGGCCTCGAGCTGGGCTATCACGAAGGACGTCTGGCGCGCCGAGGGGATCAGGGGTCTCTACTTTGGTGGCGTGGTGACTGCGCTGCGGGATAGCGTCGGGTATGGCTTCTACTTTTGGTCGTATGAAATCACCACGCGGTGGATGGGCGTCGGAGGCGACGGCGTGCAGGAAACGAATCTGAAGGAGGAAGCTGCCAAGGTGCTGCTCTGCGGCGGTCTCGCGGGTATCGTGACGTGGGTTAGCATCTTCCCACTGGACGTCATTAAGACCCGCGTTCAGACGCAGGCGTTCCAGGCACAGGCTCAGTCACCCGAGAGGTCACCTCTGCTTGCTGCACAAGGGCTGTCGCAGCAGCAGCAGCAGCAGCCGGCGAAGCGTGCAGGCGCGATGCAGGTCGCAAGGGATGCCTACCGCGAGGGCGGGATGAGAGTCTTCTTCCGCGGTCTGACGGTCTGCAGCGTGCGAGCCTTCGTCGTCAACGCGGTTCAGTGGGCCGTGTACGAGTGGGCCATGTATGAGATGGGCGAGGGCCGGAGACGGCCTGCTGCTGCCATTGAGCCTGCAGGACAAGTCATGTGAGAAATCACGACTTTGATGGAATAGGTGGTATGAGAAAGGTCGGCTCCAGATGGTCGCCTTGCGGTTTCTGAATGTCACCGCAATGTTGCCGCTTGTGCGCGCGCGCACCTTGATGGAGAAAGTTGCCGAATACTCTCCGGCATCACAGACAACCACGCAACCACACAAGCACAGAATATCAAGCTCGGCGAGTTGAAGCTGGGATCAATTATATAAAGAAAACCAAGGCCGCTCAAGCAACTACAATCAATCTTTCAAGTACCAAATATAGACGAAATACAAAGCCATCAAACATCTAACAGTTGCAATCATGGCCACGACCGAATCCAAGACAGCTTCTCTGGCAGAAATCAACCGCGTCTTCTGGGAGTCCGCCAACCCCAATTCTCTTCAATATTGGATCCATCCTCAAGTCGTGAAGCTGACATTGATATGACGTTAGTGCGAACGCACATACCTTTCTAGATCAAGACTGGATCAAAGTCTTCTCCGAACAACTCACCCGCTTCCTACGCACCCAGGCCCCGAACCTAGGTCTTCGGCCCCGGGATACAGACCCGTCAAACCCCGTCCGGCTTTTAGATTATGCTTGTGCCTCGGGCGGTGCCTCCTGGGTAAAGAACCTTGCTTCCAAGTTTCAAACGATGGCTACCTTGCCTTGCTCAACCTCTTCTCTGCAAACATGGCTCCTAACAAAACAACTTCATGAACTCTAGGCCCTCAGCCCTTACGTCGACTCGATCCTCGGCATCGACATCGCGCCCGCCATCGTCCAACGCTATAATGAATGCGCGGCGCGGCTGGGATACGCTCCAGCGCAAGCCCATGCCGTTGCCGGTGATTTGGCTTCGGATGGAGGGTTAGCTGAGGAGGGGGTATTTGATGTGGTTATCATATCGATGGCGCTTCATCACCTTGATGATCCGTTGGGGATGTTGAAGTTGCTTGCGAAGAGGGTGAGGGTTGGTGGTGTGTTGATTGCTGTTGAGGGGGTGGATTGTAAGCCCACAGGGCTGGAGGCGGAGGGAGAGATGCTCGAGAAGGGGGAGGGAAAGGGGGAGGTTTGGTCCGGAGGGCATGGAGGTAAGGCTCATGGAAGGGGGACTCATGAACATGGTGTTCATGAGCATGAGGTCCACCAGCACGACGTTCTCAAAACTACGAATCAGCATCTGGTTTTCAGCGAAAAGCTTTTCAGGGGCTGGTTTCTCGATGCTGGGTGTGATGAGAGCAAGTTTGTATATGTTGAGAATGGAGAGGTTAGTCATGTTCCGGAGGAGGTTTCTGGGAAGGCTGGTGGATTGGATAGGAAGATGGTCATTACTTCTTCAGTGAGAAAGGCGTGAGGATAGACTACTTGGTTAGCAATGATTTGGTAGGAATGGGATGTCTTTCTTGACGTCGATATATCGATTGAAGCAATACGCAATCCGGTTTCTCTTAACCAAGTTCCCGGCCACAACCAAATCAATCAAGAACCTCGGGAGAAAGCAACCAGCACCCATGAAACGAATCCTCCTTTGACTTTTCTTCGAGCAAGTTCCCTCACCCCAACCCCATAACCCATAGCGCCACTCCGCCATCTCAACAAAGCCATACTCCAACTCTATCCTCACGAACAGCCTCACGCGCCCATCCACACCCTCAAACCATCAAGGTCATCCATCCAGCAATGGCAAGCGTTTTTTACCAACCTACTCTCCTCATTCCAACAGGCAAACGGGGGTTTCAACCCCCTCAGGCGATGTAGCCCAGCGGTTACTATGGAACACTCAGTTGGGGACGTGAGATTTCCACAAGTCTCTAGGGAGATGGACCTCGAACCCTTAAGCTCGACTCCACGCTTGAGAGCTATTCTTTTTGCACTTCTTGGCACCTATGTTTTACCAGGAGTTCTTCTTTCGGATGTTTGTGGGATTATTTCTATTCTCCTTTCCCTTTCGTCGTTGTGGATTTGATGTTGTGTTCATCTTGAAACTGTAGATATCATTTATGAAGTTCGCTCAGAAGGTGATGCCTAAAGGCCGTCCTGTCCCGTCTTCATTGTTTCCGTTTCAATTTTGGACTACTCATAGGAGTCGAACATAACTGTTTCTTCATCTCGAATAGGAGGCGATCGTGAGAGCAGCGATCACGAGATATGTCTTGAGACCGAACCGCGCTCCGTTTTCAATTACTTATTATACCATCTCTTACGTATGTAAGGAATTGAGCCTACCAAATGCATCAACCAAACAACCAGCGAAGAACTTTGGAGTGGAGTGAACTGTTTGTTGTCCTTCTTCCACGGGGTCACTACTACCACGACCGGCGACATATGATAGCACCCACCCGCACAGGATCTTTCGACAACTACTATCGAGCACAACCAAGATTGATATGCGATATGTGATCAGTTTCCTTTTGAAATGAGTCATGCCAAGCTACTGGGTCCGAAACTTGCTCGTTCATCACTCGGCGCCTTTTCTCGGAGACATTTCTCACGCCCGGCCTGGCCGCCCCACTTCGGATCCGATCGTCTCGGCAACATTTCACGGCCTCGGAGACATCCCGCAAGGCCGCGTCTCAAGCCGGCACGCCCGTTCTTCACTTGGAAAAACATAAAAGACAATAACATGGCCTCAATGATAGCCGAAAATATTGCAATCTCATCGAATACACGCAACTTGACTTCCAAGCTTATACCACATTACAACTTCCATGAACACCCTCTACAAAAACCTCATCAAAGCACTCCCACTAACAACGGGCATCATCACATACAACATGACCACCCCAATCCTCCACGACGTCCTCATCATAGGCGCAGGCCCAGCAGGCCTCGCCACAGCAACAGCCCTCTCCCGCCAACTCTACACCACAGTCCTCTTCGACTCAAACCTCTACCGCAACGCCCGCGCCACCAACATGCACAACGTCCTCGGCTTCGACCACGTCCCGCCCCCCATCTTCCGCGCCAAAGCGCGAGAGGACCTCAGAGCTCGCTACGCAGAGACCGTGACCTTCGCCGACGGCGTCGAAGTCGTCAAGACGACCAAGGTCAAGGACGGGCTCTTTAGGGCCGAGGATAAGCAGGGTAAGGCGTGGTTTGGACGGCGGCTGGTCCTGGGTACCGGCGTCACGGACATTGCGCCCGAGGTGCCGGGCTACGCGAACTGTTGGGGCTACGGGATTTTCCATTGTCTGTTTTGCCACGGCTTCGAGGAGCGCGGGGCGGAGAGGGTGGGCGTCCTCGCTTTCGGGTTGACGGGGAGCGTCAAGATGGCGACGCATATCGCCTACATGGCTCGGCCGCTGGGCAAAAAAGTGACGATTTACACTCACGGTGATGAGGCTCTCGCTTCAGAGATTGGTGCCATGACGGATAATCCCTTTACCGTTGACACTCGGAAAATCACATCGATGCGCATGGCTGGCGGGGAGCACCGCACCAGCGTTACACTCACACTCAGTGGACAAGATGGAGAAGAAGGAGAGGAAGTCACGGAGGGCTTCCTCGCTCATGCACCGTTTACAAGACCCAACGGTCCCTTTGTGGAGCAGCTTGGGCTGGAGACGGCGGAGAACGGAGATATCAAGACGACTGCCCCTTTTGGAGAGACGAGTGTTTCTGGTGTCTATGCCGTGGGCGACTGCGGGAATATGGTCAAGGCCGTTGCGACGGCGGCGGCGAGCGGTGCAATGGCTGCGGGTGGCATGGTCGTGCCGATGCAGATGGAGCCCAGGGTTGAGATGGATGTCGAGGCTATGGAGAAAGTTATTGGGTAAAGAGATTGTTGTAAAAGGTACTTAACAGAGGAGGAGTTCCTTGGGATAGAAATAGGTAGCTTGACTCCGGAGATCTATAAGTCCGGTCTATTAAAATAATAGCGAAAAGAGACCATATGCCCAAGACTTGAAATGCCGTTCTCCAAGCCCACATCGGAGGTGAACTCCGATGCCAACCAGTCGACTATGTTCCCGAACAGTCTATGGAGCCTACCACTATGCCGAATCTTTTTAACATCTCAGGAGTATTTCGAGTAACCCAAATGAGAGCCATCACCGCTTCCTTCCCGCATCTTCGTAGGATCACCAACCTTGCCCAAACACATGTCCGAACCCATCGTGGGCACCAAACAAACCCAACCAAACAAGCAACCCTTTCCTCAGAGCCACAATGACCGAATTACTTTTACCATAGGATCAGGAACCCGTCTTGAACGCAGTAGATACTAAAGACGGACCGACTATCGTTCGACATGCACTAGCGTCCACCAAGTTTCTCCCAATCCCCGCCGCGGCATATCCGTTGCCTCCAGGCAGCAGAATTAATTTCTCCTGCAGCTTTCCCCCTTCCCCTCCATTCCCCGATCTTGCGACCACAAAAGTCACCACCCCCCCTTTTCTTTGCCGAGACTTCTTGTATCGTCAAATCATGACTTTTCGGGATATCAGCTGAACGCCACATGTTAGAGGCGGTGTGGGGATGGGGTCTCTTCTCTACATCGAAGCCTGATCCGGCCGGCAACTGAACTGAGAGCCTGGGGAGCTGAGGCGGGTTGATAGTCTCTCCGTGGAGGCTCGATTCGATATCTGAGACAGGGATTCAATCATTCTTTCTATGGGCTGCATGCAGATGTTGTCGAAAGAGGTTACACCAGCCAGCAGGCGGTTACAGAAACAAAATTTGCAAGGGGGAAGCAGGTCGGACATGACGAAAGAAGTAGCTGTAACCTTTTCTACATCATTATTCCCTTATCATACTTGCACTGAAAGGGCTACTGAAAACGTATTCCCTCTAATGAAGCCACAAATGGTGCTTGACGAAGTTTTTTTTGAGTGGCTTCGTCGCTGAGTAATTACCACCGCTCAATTCCACCTCAGGCATTGGGATATACGGCGCATCAAGCCCTATTCTTGACTAACTCAAGGCCTGGCTATTTGATTTTTTTTGTATTTCGAACTCCATGATACCGATTAGGGCCTCATGTATTCAACGAGGGCTCCTTGCTCGACACCTTCCAAGCTGCCTGGTATTGCTGGAACTGAGCGGGTCCCTTGATCACTCTCATTTTTGCAGCTTGGTAGAGTATTGGCCCCTTAAACCTTGCCCCTTGGACAATATCTGAGCTTCAAAGGTGATGCAGTACCAATATCAGGCTCCAGAATTATGAACTCATTCCTCTCTTTGGTAAAACTAGGCTGCCCTCGAAAGCCTTGCGATGCTCATTTCCAGGGAACCACTCGGCTTTTACCCGGCACTCAGAGATAGACACAAGTTGAGAGGGGTCGATGTCCTAAGAATACATTAACGTCCTCAAAGTCTCGTGCCAGATTCACGATGTTTAGACGCTTGACGTTGTACTTACCCCTTTGTCATAGTCCATTCCGAGTTCCTCCATTGCCGCAGCCTGTTGGAAAACCCATGGTTCTTGTAATTAGTACGTCGGTCGTGGGATCTGGTGGAACGGGCTGCAGAGGCAGGCCTCCATTATGGGCATGCGTCTGTCGTTCTATACTTAGGTAGGCACATCAAGTGACCTGTCTATCAAGGTCAAGAGGTGGAAATGAAGGCTTTCACGCAATTTATGACCAGTTTGGATGAATCTTGCCCAGAAAGACATCTTAAGCTTGGTGTTCTAACTCCAGCCAAAACCTCACGAGGAATACTCTTCCATAAGTCCTAGAAAAGGCCTGTGTCGCTATCTCAAGAGGCTCAATCTATTCTCAGCGAATCCTTCACAGCATGACTTCTCGCAATAATTTGAGGCACTTTTACCTAAACAACCATAAAGCTTAAGTAAAGAGAAAGAGGATAGAAAATGATCAGCACAATCATTAGCAAGCGGAGCGAGACTTCAGGACTCGCCTCCGTGGAAGAATGGGCATGCCCACCCCACCGCAGCAGATGTAAACCGGACACCGTGAAAAGGCATCTTGGTCAAGACAAACATATTCACCCACGGGTTTCTGCCATAACCTCTCCCACTCTCTAGACTATCAAGGAGTCTCGATATGTGCCATCATCGTGCTCTCCTCCGGCGTTGGGCCCTCCCACGGATAATCCACTCATGCCCAGTGCTTTAGTAGTTGCTTCGTTCCTATGTGGATCCTCGACGAGGGGGGTGGTATGCTGGCCGGGATGGGATTCCTTTCCGCGAAGATGAACCTGAGATTGGTCCTTGGATTGAGAGGTATTTTGAAGCATATCCGCGCAAACCGCCACAACGTCCTCCTTGTGATCTTTGTAATTTACGTCTACTTCGAAGGAGTAAGTAGCTAGCCGTAAAGAGAGCTGTGAACAGGGAACAACATCGTCACAGAACGACGCTACCAAGATGCGTAAATGTGGTGATGTACACCTAGTTCGCAGGACTTTTCAAGAGACACAGAGATGGATATCAAGCTGGTCAGCTACTAGCATAGAGATTCATCATTCCATAACCAAGTTCTTTTTTTAGAGAGATCTAGCTGTCTCCAGACCCCAAGGTCAGGCAGGCATCGACAGCCACCCACCGCAGTTACTCATCCCCGTGCCGTGTCAACGCCACCAGATGCCCCCATATTATCTGCAATTCAGGCGGAACGTTACATAGGAACGGTCGTAACATCAGATACCCTGATTGCATCGCTGCTTTCCATAAGCATCCAAAACATCACAGCAAATCTACCCATACACACTTGTAAACTAACTTGCCTACCACAACGTAAGGTCGGGCTACAGAAGCGGTAGACCACGCAGCTACCACCCAATCTCCTCGGTAAACCATGCTCTAGAAAACGTGTCCCATGCGGAAGGAGCCCATAGAAAGACTCTCTCACGAGGCATTCAAGACAGCAGGCGGTTGCGGAAATCTCGCCATCCGCCAGGGGAGCCGGACCTAAGGATAGATGAGGCAGGCAGATGGGTGTGAACAGAGGCCACTAGCTTCCCCGGGCTATGCTCCACGTCGTACTCAGTCTACATCTAAACGTTGGACAGCACCCCTCCGAATGACAGCAAATAGAGGCATCGTTTGTTCAGTTTATTAACATGACAGAATAGAGTGAGCAAAGTGCTTTCCAGTCTTTCTTCGTAACATGAAGTATTGCGAACCGTTTCTCCCGGAAAGCAAACACACTAGGGAACAAAATGGAGAGATTCGAAAGTCTCCTCCTACAACAACACACTCTGGACAACCGTACACCCTCTCCATCAATAACCTCTTTCATGGATAATTAGGTTCACCCCCATATCCCCCCAGGAGGCCGGGGCCCACCAACATAACCCGCCGGCGGGCAGTTACCAAAAGCAACATAGAAAGCAATAAAGCGGGAAACGAAAATACTACCCGTGGGCTAATGCTTCTGAAATGTGTCATCCCAATTACCTCCCCCCCACTCACCCCGGGCGCATCAACGGGATGAAACCTCAAGGTTCTCCCGGCCTCGCTCCCGTTTATGGACGTTGGTGACCCTCTGCTCAAACCCCAATTTGGGTCTTATTCAAACATTCGACTCCATAATACCAATTGAAGACCCTGACCCTTTCGCCAAGGATACCTCCCTACCGCCGCGTTTGCATTCGAAGTTGGAACGGGATGTCCTCCGCAAAAGAAACATGTCAAAAGAGAAACACCTGACACAACCGACGGGCTGGATCATGCGCGCGTGCGCGCGGAACCCCGCGAGATAAAGGCTTTCTAGGCTCTTCAAAGTCGGGAAAAATGGGTTCCCCTAGATATCAGCGGGTTAGACATCTCGAAAAAAGGACAATGACCATGTTTCAATACCCTCATGTGAGGAGATCCCGATGACGGCAGGCATACATCGCCAACACAGAAAAAGAAAAACCTGCGGGACGCCTTGGTAAGACCGGTGCGGAAATCCGCAAACTGGGAACAAGCCGTGGTACTGGGTGAATGGGCTGCTGTTTCTTGGTTTGACGTGGGGTGGGCGTTGGTGAACCTTCCCATGTTGTGTTTTCGAACAACCCGCAAGCCTGAATACGCTTGGTATACCATATGCTCTATTGAGGCATGTTTTTTCTTTATTGTTCCAATGATCCAGGGTTCGTTTCCTAAAAATAAGTGATGCTTTGTGGAATTGCCTTTGACGTGTCTTGGCTGTTTGTGGTCCTGTGTTCCTGGTTTGTGACAAAGGGTCTCAGGATGGGATTGTTCGTGGTTGAAAACAGGATCACAGGGGGGCCGGCCAGACAAAGTAACCGTGCCTGTGGAACGTGACTTATGGAAAAAAAATTATTTTGGGTGAAAGTGGAAGAGAGGACCGCGCCTCTCTCTCACGAATCAAGGCCCCTTCTTGTCCAAGAATTTGGGCACTTATGGATATATCCTCCATGAGAAGCTCCAACTAAAAAAGAGAACTCCATATCCAACCAAGATAGTCTAGTCATCCAGATTAAACTATGGTGAATGCCGATTATACTCCTAGATCTCCGCGATCCAAAACCACCCCCCTTAAATGATAAACCTGTACGCCATGCTCTGAAACAATTCATGCTCAACCTCCACCACTTTGGATTTTGTTCCCCCCCTCCGTTCAGCTGTAAAAGAATAGCTCCTCGGACCTCGTAGTCATCGACCGGTGAAGGCGGGGGCTCGCGTACTCCGACATGGGTGACACCAAGACACTCGGGTTGTAAATGGTAGCGCTCATCATGCTCGCGTGAGAATCCCCGCCCTGGGCAGACACCCATCCCATCGACTCCCTCGTATCGTAGCCCCCAAGCTGCTGGTGCAGGTGCACAGGGGTCTGGAGAGGAGGAAGAGGAGACACCACCGCCTCAGCAGTCGCCGTCGTCGTCGTGTTCGCCAGCGCCGCGGCGGTCGTGTGTAAGTCGCCGGCTACCACCCCCGGCGCAGTGATCTGCTGGCGTTCGCCCTGGTACCACCACTGGTTCTCAAACCCGTTGTCCACGGTGACCATTGCCGCGGACAGCGCCTCCAGGTCATGTCTCCGCCCGTCGTCCCCTCTCTCGCGGGGCATTGGCGTGGCGTTGGTGAGGGAGACGTCGCGGAACTTCATGGACAGCTCGGAGGAGTAGTCGTCGACGACCTCGGACTCGTCTGGCATGCCGAACTCGCCTGGCCACGATGACGCTGACCACGGCATCTCGTCCTCGCCGAGTCGGAAACGTGAAGGCACTTCGGGCAATGCCTTCCAGTAGTCGGGCGCATTCTGGGCCCGCGGTCGTTGACGAGGCAGCGCTGAGCTTCCTAGAGCGTCCGGCTCGGCGTCCCAGGGGCTGTCGTTCCATGGCGGCGGGGCAGAGCTACCTCGTTCGTGTGAGGAGCTCGATCGACTCTCTTGTCGAGATTGTCTACTGACTTCATAGTGTGGCGGCATTGGTGGTTGCGCTTGGGGTGCGTAGTATTCCTGGATGGGTGGTGAAGATCGTGTCGGTTGGTGTTGATGGGCCGAGTGGGAGGGCTCTGCTAGATAATTTGTATTCGGCGGCGGGACTTGTCTGGGGAACTGAGCGCGATCACGGAAACCACGAGAGGCATATGTGACGGAGTGTTGATTGGGTGCATGTCTAGGTGAGAAGGAGACCCCAAACTCGAAGTGAACGAAGATCTGGGGCTTCCGGCTTGAACTCGACGCCATATCGTCAAATAGGTGAGATGGGATAGGTTCTGTTCTCCAAATGGTGCCCATAATGAAAGGGGAGGGGACGTCCGTGGTTGATATGAGGGACGGGAGGCGGACTCGAGAGTGGATGCTCTAGACTCGACGGCGGTCTGAGCTAGGGTGAAAGTAGGACAAAGCGGAGATAGAGTCGGATGAATGCAAAGGTATGGCAGTATGATGCGGTGCCAGCATCCGTATGTACGGGGCCGAGCTTGGGCTCGGACGCTAGTGTCAAAGGGATGTGTGTGGATTTGTGTGTGTGTGTGTGTGAGGTTCTGCAATGATGGGCAAAGAATGAGGTGTGGTGTGGATGGGACCAGCAGAATTCGTGTTGGTGTGCGATGGATGGGCGATGAGAGATGTAGTCAGATCAGATGCTGCGGTTCATCCCTCCGATGTAAGCGGATGTTTACTTTAGTTTTGGGTTGAGCGTATAGAAAAGCGAGGTGCGATGATACAGGAACAAGGCCGCCTAGGATGGAAGTCTGGTGTATGATATTAAGGCGAGGCGTTTGAAGGCGAGCGTGGGCGAAAAGTGGCTCCCAAAGGGATTCGAAGGAGGAGGAGAGGTTTGTGGCGGAACAAGCAAGACACCGCCCGGTACAAGGCCCCCCATCGAGGAGGGACCTTGGACCTAAGCACCCACGGCACCTAATCAAGCAAGCAGAGCCAGCGCAGGGTGTCCGAGAGATGGGGCAAGGAGGCTAGAGGGGCCCCCGGGGGGGGACGAGGGTTGGCTGCATCGGGTCTTGGTGTAAGGTGATGTGATGGGCGAAGGGGCGGCGTGTACGTGTGAGTGTGAGACGTGAGTGCGGGAGGGGAGAGGCGTGAAGTGTGAGGTGTGAGGCGTGAGGTGTGAGGCGAGGCCGAGACTGTGGAGGGCGGCTGAGGCAGCAGAATTAAACCCAGTTACGCCAGTGTGAGAGTGACCCGTATCTGTGGGTAAGTATCTTACGGATAATGGCATTGGCAGCTCATGGTTTGATGCACAGCACGGCCCCGAATGCCGGGACCTTGCCGTATGTAGGTACTCTTCTTTGGAGTGAGGGATCACTTGAGAGAAGGTACGGATAGATAGGCTATGCATCAGTACAGCGACCGTCTGGGAGCAGAGCAATGAGCAGATGAGAGCAGCAGCAGCAGCAGCAGACGATCAGAAGTGAGGACGGACTGAGAAGCATGGTACAGCCCCTCGGCGCCTCGCTTGTCTGGCAACCGTACCCGCTTCGGACGAAATGCCGCGAGCGAAGGAAGCAAATGTAATTTGACGACGCAAGCCAAAGTTCCTATTTTGCTAACAAGACAAGGAGTCAACGAGAAATGATGATGCCTCGCGAGAGAGGCCGAGTTGGCGCGACGGGAAATTCAAGACGCGGGATGGAGACCCCAATACGGCCGTGGAAGGATGCCAAGACCAAGGACGAGGGCGAAGGCGCGGAGCATGGGGTAGCGCAGTGATGGTCTGGCTTTGTGTATCCATCCGTATGTTCTGAGCAGCAGTTACATGGCAGCTTGCCAGGAAGACGTGGCTGTTGGCGGCGGACACTGCACAGCTGAGAGAAAGGCGATCGAGACAGGCGTGAGAGACTGACAGGCCAATGAGCCGGACAGCTACCTACCTACCTAGATTTCGGCTTCGCGCGACATGGTGAAAAGAGCGGAAAGCGGACTACAGCACCGCAGCACCACAGCTAGCTAGGTAGGGAGAAAAGGGCGGAATGCAATGAGGTGGGCGAGGGAGGAGGCTTGGCCAAGCTTGGGATGCTCGAAGGATGAGAAACCCTGGCGGGGACGACGTCGAGATGGAGTGACCGAGTCTGTGGACCGTGGTCCGTGGTCACTGCCAACTGCCCACAAGGTGTAAGTCGCGGGGAGATCAGGGTACACGGTACTTTGACACAAGGTACTTCAATGCAGGGGGGATGACTCCCAGGTACGTACGGAGTATTCTCTCCATCTTTCTCGAATCCGAACTTCAAACTTGACATCAACAACGTCAAGGCCAAGTCTGCTGCGCTACGTGCCGACTTCCATGTCAGATTTTGGTACGAAGTATACAATCTCTCTCTATGGGTACTGTAACCAAGACAAGGCTGCCAGATCTCGTGAGAATGCCTCCACTATGCCAATAGTTCATGGAATTCCATGATGGACTAGTGGACTTCCATTGCGGCTTTTGCTCGCGCTGACTGAGAGATGATGGATATCCTACTTGTCAAATACCACCAAAGTGCCATTATAATGGGCACCGTCGGAACATTGAGGGCATGCGGGAGAGTCTAGACAGGGTACAGGCCCTCAAAACACCCTAGAAGCACAAAGACCAAGGTTAAAGGTACGTACGTACTTGGAACCCCAGGCCCACCTACGTTTCGGTCATTTCTTCTGCGGCCTTGAGATACATCCAAGTGCAACTCCACGACACCATTCTCTTGATCTCAATGCTATCAACAGCATATCACTCTGGATAATGCTAGTTTTACAGCTCGCTGCCTGGTTAATCTTGCCATACATCATGCACACTGCAAATTGCCTCTTCTACTTGTGTTCACTCATCTTGCCACTCGAACGCCTCAAACCGACGTAGAAAAAAAAATAGAACAAAAGACCCATTTTCACACAATCTCCAACATCAGCTCAGCTGAAGCTACAGTTATCGGGTTCTGGCTGATGATTTGCAGTTGATCTTCGCTCCCCCCCCCCCCCCCATGCGTGCCCTCGCGGCCTCCCTCCGTGTCACATCAGATCTGTGATCCGCGGTTTTTAGACAAGTACGCGCTGAACAACACCACTAACACCTGAATGTACAGCAAGTGAAAAGGTTGCGTCCGGCCGTGTGGCCCGACTAGTTCGGGCGTCCCGATGGTGACATTCGCCCCCCGTCCCGTCTCCATCTGCTTGTCCACCGTCCAGGGTCTCCATTTTGAGTCCGCCGATCAGCGCCCCCTACCAAGTACAGCTGCCAATCATCGCATCTGTATCATGGGGTTTTCCACCCCGCCCTGACCGAGTCGACGGATATGATTGGGCCTTGACGGGAATTGACTCTCGAGAACCAAGGTACCCTAAACCGAACCCCCATCTGTGGCACTGGTCGCGTGGAACCGCATCTCGTTCATCAATCAGGCAGCCATATAAAAAAAAATTCCCGGTACCGCTCAACCGCCGTTAAGAGAAAAATTGTGAGTGTTTCGACTGAACCTTCAAAGATGAGGGGGGCAAGAAGAATATCCCTAACGTTTGTGGTGTGAAATGCCTCAACTGCTGCAGCTAATGTGCTTTTGGATGTGCCGAGTCGCCGAGTGTCCCTTGATCAGCGTTCTTTGCCCATCCCCCTTCGTGATGGGAAAGACAATCGCCAGGTTGTGCGGGAGCGGTCATCGCATGGAAGCGGTCAGTCGAAGAGGCTTAGGAGGTAGGGAGGTGACACATGATGGAATCTTCGAATCTGACTTCCATGAGTGGGTACCGGTCAGCACCCAAAAGATCCAAGGTAGCCATCTACATACTACCTAGCGATACTCATGACCGAAAATATCGCACAGCATTCATAGCTCTCACCCTGACACTGCCTGGAAGGTTTATCCCAAAGTTCAGACAGGCACACGAGGGCCGATGGATTGAAGGATGCGGAACGAGCTTGGAGGGAACGATTACGAGGAAGCCAATGGGAAAGCTGGGGACCGTACGTACGGAGTCGAAGAAACGCGGACCCGGGAATACGGAGTACTGACGGCGTGCCTGATTTCACCTCGGGGATTTATTACTTGTTTTCTGCCCTGGTCTGCCGAATTGTCCGAGTGGTTCATCAATCATCACCGAGGTATGGAAATTCACCTGCCATTCTGAATGCTGATGTGTTCGTATTACCCGACTGCTCGTCTCTATTGCCAGTATTACGTAAGCCAACTCATGCGCCACACCTCTCTCTCTCCGAGCCACGTGCCATCTTTCGCCACGTTCCACCCGGGGAAGCGTGGCTTGGACTGCTATTTTTAATTCTCCCATCCTGCTAGAATTGCAATTCGGTACGGCGAGTATTAGGTAAGCGTATTCTCCACCAAAACCGCACACCCCTTCGGGCCCTTCCGTTTCTGTCCCGGTCCCTCAACCGCAACCTCCGCGTCCGGCCCCGACATCCAGCGGCCTTTTTCCTTTGGGTTTTTCGGTAGCCTAATTAGGAGCACTCCGATACTGGCACAGCTCCTTCAAATCTGGTTGCTGTCTGTAAACAAGGCGAAGCGCGATGGAGGCGCGCGCCGGCGCAGAAATAGACGCCGCAAGCGCGATCCTACACCCCCAAGCTGGGGGCCCCCATGACGAAGGAAGCTCTGCTTTATGAGCACCGCCTCTCCGCCCATCTATTTTGAGGCGTGATAACGACTTGGTCTTTCCCGTAGAATCTTGATAAAAGATAACCACGCTTCTCACATCACAACACACCCGCTATGTCCAGCCCTTTCCCGAGCTCCCAAGCACTCAATCTCCTATGGAGACTCTAGGGCCCGTTGGCGGAAAGCATCTTCGTCGTGCGAAGCTGGGATACCCTGGATCCGCCGCGCGAACCCTTTGCCACCCAGGAGGAGCTCAAAGGCAGCACGTCCTGGCACGCTATCTCACGAGAGTCGCTTGCTAAACCCAAAATCAAGTCTATAAGCGTACACGTCGATATTCTGGAGCGTTGGCAGCGTGATTGAATTGCGTGGCATAAGCGTCACGCTAGTCCTGACGATGACGGCTGTGTCTATGGAGAGTTGCTAGACGACGACCTTTCCAAGTCAGAGGGTAGCAGCAGCGAAGGGGAAAAAAAAGATGATGATGACGATAGCGGCGGTGGAGAGCTCTCGCGCTGCTGCGACACAGACCGACCAAAACGGGCATATCCCCTCATCATCAAGGCGTCCAACGCAGAATACATCACCGTACACGACTACGTCTCGGTGCTGCACCCGTGGCTGATGGGGTTACGGCAGGACATTGCGCAAGCTGACAACCTAATGGGCGAGAGGACACCAGAGGAGTCTGAGAGTCTGGTGGTGGACATCACCACCCTGGACTATCTGAGAATTATGAACGAGAAGCGGTTTCTTCGTTCCAGATACACTGGTCCCCCCATCCCGCTTCCGGACATGAGCCAGGAGTACCAGGACTGGCCTTCGAAATATGTATTCAGGGAGGACGTTCCGTTTTCGACTAAAAGGCCGCCACCCCCGCCATAAACATGATGAACCGCACATACAGATGGATGTTGCTTCTTTATGTATAATCCAGCATCAGGGGCTATATGTCTATGTGAACCTCATTAAATGCAACACCCAAAAGTTCAAAAAGACAAGAAAGAAAAAGAGTTCACCACCGGTGTGGCTATATCTCTTGGTGCACTGGCTGGGAATCGCACTCGACCTCGGAGCCTGTCGTCGAGTAGGCTGTGGGCGTAATTGAATGTCGACCTTGAACCACTCCACCACCCAGCCAGTTTGACCTGACCCGTCGATCTAGACGGGCGCCTCCTGGCTGGTGACAGGAACGGTGTTTAGGGGGTATATATAGGTACATACTAGGCAAAGCAAATGCTGCTCGTCGCACGGGTTACAGCGGCAATATTTCCATGACTAGTCTAACACAACGACCAAGTATTTACAGCGTCAAAAGGCAATTCACAGGTAGCCCGGGCATCACGATACTTCAATATGTGTTCTGAATCTCTAGCAATCCTCCCACATACCGCCTGTCTTAGTCACGCGTGAGAAACTGAAAAGCCAAATGACCTAGGTTCCTGTCCAAGCAACGCCACCTCGAGAGGCTGGTCCAATTGTCCCTCGTCGACCTCATGAAGCAACCGATTTCAATATGCGACGCTTTCTATTAAAGTTCTGATAAGAATCATAACAGTACCGCGGTTTCGCTAGCTTTCCAACCTCATAATAACCATCTATCCAAGAGCAGCCATGACAAGCCGATTACCTCCGTTGGCACTTACAGCAGCCCCGTTAACCCAACGACCCTCTTCACTAGCAAGAAACCCAACGATGTACGCAATATCCTCTGGCACCCCGATTCGGTCCGCCGCCGTCGTATTTCGAATCTGCCCATCGAGATACCCCGCCGGAAGCAAATCCTTGCTATTGTTCACCGAGTCCGTGGCCGTTAGACCGACAATGACGCTGTTAAACGTCGCCTTGGTGGTCTTGCCAAACGCCTCGGCGAGCGAGCGCGTGTAGCTCTGGAAAGCGGCCTTACTGGCTCCGTACGTCATTGTAGGATCCGAATTGGCTTGGTAGGCCAGCACGCTCGAGATGGCGATGACGCGGCCGCCGCCTTGGGGGGGCAGGTGAGGTATGACGGCGGTTGTGAGGGAGATCGGGGCGAATACGTTGGCCTGCATGACTTGAAGGAAGACGGGAAGCGTCGTGTCGTTGATCGGTTCCACCTTGGAGTAGTCGCTTAGGACGGCGTTGTTGACGAGGATGTCGATGGAGGTGGGGGAGAGCTGTTGGAGGGTTTGGGAGACGATTTTGGTACCAAAGGAAGGGTCAAGAGCGTCTGCTTGGATGGCAATGGCGGATTCTACTCCAAGCCTGCGACACTCGTCTAGAGTCTTTTGTGCCGCGTCGGAGTTGCTGGCGTACGTGATTGCTAACTTGGACAGACCCTTCCGGGCTAGATGGATGGCGATGGCTTGTCCGATGCCACGAGATGCTCCGGTGACGATTGCCGTCTTGCCGACGAGCGACCAAGATTCTTGCGCAGGTGAAGTTGAAGACATGGTGGGCAATTTCTAGAGTCTCTGTGATATAGTCTTGAGAGTTACGAATGCAGTGAATGTTGGATGTGTTGATGAACATAAAAGAGCCATGGCATGCCAATTCAATTTATAGGAATGGACCCTCTATGTTTCTCTAGAGGAAGCTCTACGAGCTCACCATTCTATCGTGGCCAACACATCTTCAAAGTCCGCCGAACAAATTGCATGGCCTGTACTCGGACAGACCATCGCCGCAGTGGAGGTTGATGTGGAGCATGCGGAGCGGCGCTTGGGCATCACAAACGGCGCCAAGAAAGGAAATTTCGGCCAGGGTGTCCGGGGTGTCCGGGTATAAGAGGAAGAAGTCGCCGAAACTTAAGCTTGACTCCAGGTCGGACCATGAACCACCGGCGTAACTTCCAACCGGAAGAACTCCACACATCGATAAAAGAAGTCTCCGAAGCAAGGCAAGTATGTAGTCGCAACGACGGGACTTCGGGTTGTTGACAGTTCCCGTCCGACTAGAAGGAACTATACGCAAACGCTGGGATGGGTTGTGCCCCAACATGAACGGCGGACAATTTGCCAAGCATCGGAGATGTGAAGATTTCCTTTCCAATGGAACTGTTTCTCTCTCGCCTTTCTATACTTGGCAATTTTCGCCTATGACATGAACAAATAGCTATTGATGTTGTACGTCTGAAGAGAAGAAAAAACGAAGTCGTTTTCGGGGTACGTGAGGCGAATCTTTCTTGTTATTTTGAGACTGTTCTACACCTACGAATACCATTACTTTGACTTCAATGATGATGGCTAATCATTCCCCAGAGTTCTGACACCTAGAAATCTTTTACACAGCATTGTCACAGGACTTCTTCTTTCGCTGGGCTTCCCCTCCTTTTTTGATTCGTACAGCTGCAAATCACGATGAAGAACTTCGAGATGCCAACTCCCTGAAGGGACTAATCGACGTCACCAAACAACCTTGCCAAGTTGAATCCCGTACACAACCAAAAACGAAAGCTCTTGATTCAGGAGCAGAAGCCCAGTGTTAACAGCTGGGTTTGGTTCATTGCTAGCCAAGGATGGTCATCCACGAAAGATCGCAGAGTAGTTGAATAAACCGCTCGGTCTGTATCGTCTCGCGAATTTCAGGATTACTTGTATACTGAGACCAACCTTCGCGGAGGCAACGTGACTCTTGAATATCATGCTAGACTGTTCGGAGACAATATTTCGTATAAGAGAGATATGCCCAATACAGAGAATGATATTTCTAAGCTAAACCGACTTAACAAAAATGAAAGCAAGTAATTGAAACACAAGCCAAGTCTACCATAGAACATACCAATCCCAACAAACCTCACCACACATACAACCTCAAACAGTACCCTTCCCACCACTCCCCTCCTCTCGAACCTCACCACCATTCCTCTCCCAAAACCTCTCCATCCCGCGATCTCTCCCCCCAATCAACCCCCTCAAATCAAACGGATCAACAACCGTCACCCAAAACTTCCTCGGATCCTTCCACCCAGGCCCCTCCACCTCCGTAACCCCATCGGGTGCAAGATACACCGTATACCTCTCGGGCAAATACCGCCTCGGATGCCGCACATTAAACATGCACACATTCGCCAGCATCAAACTCGCCTCAAACACATAAAAGAACCACTCATACCGTATCGCGGCCGGAATATCCCCCACCTCCGTCTCCGCATCAAACCTCACCTTCGCAACCCCAAAGTACTCCACGACCCGGAATAGCGTCCTCGCGAAGATCAACCCGACGCTCACGTACAGCGTCACCATCGGACCTTGTACTCCGCGTACAGACGCCACGCCGGCGGCGGCGCACCGCCGCTGGAAGGCGACGGCGAGCGCGACGAAGCAGGCAATCACAAAGATTTGGAGGAGCAGGCTCGTCTTGATGAGCGCGTGGCCCGTCTCCATCTCCCGCTGTGTGAGGGACTGATTGGCCGAGTAGGATGCGCCCCACCCGTTCAGCGCCTCGATGATGCTGGAGAAGAAGGCGAAGGTGCTGAGGACGCGGCCTGGGTGGAGGGGGGAGCAGTAGGGGACGTAGTAGAGGACGCGGCCGAGGATGTTGTAGTTTGCTAGTTCGAGGAGGGGTCTGTGTGGGAGATAAAAAGTAAGTTGAAAGATTTTTTTTCTTTCCCTATCTCTTCCGTTTGGAAAGCAAATGTGTGACTTACGGAGCTGCGTAGATGAGACATACACTCGCGATGAAAATGTTGAGATTATCATAGTGCCATGCGCCGTACGTGCGGACGGCGAAGCCAGCTGTGAAGAGCAGACAGCAGAAGGAGTACAAGGCAGTGACTTTGAAGAATTTATAGTGACTGGAAACCCATTGCCTCTAATTAGCTACTTGTTCTTCTTCAAGGTGGCTGAGTTTGGGTTGGTAGTGGTTAGAAGACGGCACGGTTGAAGTGACTTACTAACTCTGCCAAAAGTGCAATATGCCAGATGCAGCAAATGCTACAGCGAAGAAGATGGGCGCTCCCTTATTTGGAGCGTAAAAGAAGTAGCTCCCGTCGACTTTGGATATCTTATTAGTGGGCGTTGAAGGTGCCTGCTCTGGGGAGGAGGGGTCGATTCTTACCATAATTGCCATCCTCCATATTCGCTCCTTTATCTCTCAGTGCTCACAGTTCCTACAAAGTGCTCGCTTCTACGTGGATATGGATCCAGCAAATCGATTTTGGGCAATGTGCGTGGGCTGGGTTGAATCTCGCAACATTCGACAATGGGTCACTATGGACCTTCAAATAATCTGGTGTAGAAATCTTTGTCCCACGTTCTTTTATATCAATACCGACCTACTCTACCTTACATACTTCTTCAACCACTGTCCTTCGCCCATCAAGGGAAGAAAGGCACTTTCCCTCCGGTAATCTTCCAATTATTCAAAATCTCGGTATCCCAAATGTCCTCCCCGTAACCCGACGAATACGCTCGCCAAGCCCCCCAAATCCCCTCAAGATCAGCCTCACGAGGCGTCCATATCGACCAATCGCATCGATCCCTCGAATACGACGCGCGCAGAATGATGACCCGACTGACACACACACATACACACATACCATAGAAACTAACGTACTAAGCTTGACTCTCTCCCATGAGCCCCTTCGACAACTTTTGTTCGATGCCAACGACGTTTCCAACTACAATTGGCGATAACCTAAATCAGCCCAAGAGACAGCCCACAGGCACACGCCGGCATGTAGATCTGCAGCCGTCATATCGTCGTATCTCGTGTGTTTGATCTTTGTTGATTTTCTTGGCTTTCCCAGTCTCCCGGGAACAGTCCACAGTCCAGTCGACAATTCGGAACATGTACCCGACGCCTTTTGCAGTCCTTGCCATGACTCCTTGAGGTTCCATGAGCAATGCGTTATGGCGCTCTACAATGATGACCCGACGGGACTCTCCTAGCCTCGTAGACCCTTCTTCTCATACGTCTGAAGACGAGTGTGGCTGCTTACACTCACCCACTCACTCACCAACACGCCCGTAGAGGCCCAACTCACAACGGCACTGCAACAAGCTCTTGAAATCGTGAAGTGAATTCATTCCTGAATAGTACCTGGGCAAGGCCAGCGTACGGACTAAATGCCTCGTAATGCCAATAAGAAGGGGGAAAATCCTTCAAGTTGCCCTATCCATCACCACCGTTCCCAAAGTGTTTATACATCAGAGAAAGAACAAGGTCCAAACGTGATCCCACATATTGTCGGGATATCTGCACGTTTTTTGCTCGGGCCTTTCCAGACCCAAGGCCCGTCCGTGAAGTTTGCTTCCTCTGCTCAAACAAAAACGCCCAAAAAGATTTCCATCCTAGATGCAGTTCCTGGCGATTAAAACATACAGTGGTCATACATGAAATCATTACAGACTGATGCCTCGCGCGGCGCTTCAGTCGACCTCCCACCCGCGACCCGTGCCGTTCGCGTTGTCGGTAGCCTCGTCATTGTCGCCGTCGTCAGTGCCGATCACGCTGTTCGCACGCGATGACTCGACTTGGCTGAGATAGTAATCGTCGTTCTCGCCCCAGCTATCGTACTCGTCATCAGAGTAGTCCCATTGCACGGGAATCGTCTCGCCGCCCTCGCCGAACCCGAACATCATACCGCGCCATTGTCCAGCGGCGATCTTAGCGGCCACCTGGAGCATCAGGGCGATGAGATGACTCGGGGGACCCAGAAGGACCTCGCAGGTCTTGGACACGATGGCCATGGGGAGTCTGCGGACAAGTTCCAGGCGGCTTCTCAGGGGATGATACCTGGCCTGAGTGCTCGTGGGCGCAAAAAGGTTGGCCGCTGTCGGCAAAGGAGAAAGTGCTCTGCGGCCAACCGAAATGCTGCTCGTGGTTGACCTGTGTCGAATATACGGGCGACGCACGACAGCCGTGGTTGCGGCTTCATCCTCGGAAAGGGCAACCTTGTCAGGCTGCTCAACCACCTCAGATACCATGTCTGGCGCGGTAGCCGCGCTCTCTAGCGAGCTGTCGTCGGTAAGAGACGAAGTCGCATCCCAAGTTCGCCGAGTCTCCGGGGTGACAGTCAGATCGGAGATATCGCGGTAGTGCCAAGGCTTCTTGGGAATCAAAATATTATCGTGGGGGTATGGGAACCTCGTTGGTGACACATCCGAGGCAGGAGATCTTGGGACAGGCGTGATTGGCGAGTGAGCGGGCGAGTGCCACGACTTTGAACTGTGGAATGAGTCTGTAGAGCCGGTAGGCGAAGTGGTTTCATCCAGAATCGGAGTTGATCTCATAGCCGACTTTGAGGGCGGCGAAGTTACGAGAGTCAACTGTGGAGGAACAAGAGCCCTGCCGGCTCTGAACCCGCGAAGCTTCTTTCTTCTGCCACCCACAACTCCGCTTCCCTCGAGAACTGCCTCTTCATCGGTCGCGTACTGTGATTCGCTGCTTGATCCATTCCCGCTGGTATTCGCCGTCTCCACTGCAGATTTCTCACACACAGTCTCGGGCTCAGCGACGGGTTCGGTGGCCAGTGTAGACTCGGGAGTCGCAGCGGCCATCTTGATTTCGTAGTTCCGGATCACGTCGTAAATGTTAGTAGGCGTGGGTGTGCTTGCCTCAGCCGACGGAGGTGTCTTGGGCAATGCCTCCACAGTGACGAGCTGTTCCTTGATATCGTTTTGCAGTCGCCGACCAGCCACTGGCCGCTCAACAGTCATCACAGTCTCGACCTGGATATCTGTTTGGTTTTTCTTCGGCTGAGTCAATGAGTCGTCGATTTTGATAGAAGCTTGGGGAACTCGAGGGCTCTGGGCAATCTTTTCACAATCGTCCGTCTCTGTCGAAGGGGCTGTCACGGTAGTGTGTAGCGGGGAGAAACGGGACGCTGATGAGACCGCAGCGGCAGTCACCTCTTTGCCGGCGTTATCCTGTGCACCAATGCCACCGCCCGCGACTTGGATTCCTAACGACTTTGTTGACGGCTCCTCGGCGGGAGCCTTCAGATCTGTTTGTTGAGCATCGTCTTCGGGTTCCACTTCCTCGGCGATGGAGTCCTCGAATATGGAATCTTCATGGTTCTCCTTGGGCTCGTTCTTCTCTATCCTGACCAGGTCACACGTAGGGCCTCCCTGTTCAGTCACCTCTTGAGTCGTATTGTTGCTATCGAAATTGCGGGTTGCCTCCGCTCCACGCTTCGGAATCTTCAATTCTGTCGCAACGGCTGGTCTCTCGGCCGTGGGAGTTAGTGCGGCATCGCTGGGCTCTGCCGCTTTCGGTATTTCGGCACTAGGTTCGCGAGATCTTGAGGTTGAATGAAAGTCATTGCTGACAGTGGAGAGCCGGCGTTGCTCGCTTCTACCGCGGAGAGAAGATGTCGAAGCTCTCCTGCCGGTGTTAGGCGTCAGAGCCTTCGGGGTCGGTGATACTTCGACTTCGTGAGCAGGGGTCGATAAGACAGGCAGGGCTCGTTTAACTGGGGGTGTCCATGGTCGCTTTTTGACAGGTGTTTTCGGTTTCTCGGGGAGGATGACTGTAAAGGACCGTTTGAAAGGGCATTCCGTCTTCTCAAATTGCAGTATTTGATCCCAGACACCCTTCAGTGCCGCTGCCAATTCCAGTTCATCGGCATTGGTGACAGGAATCTCAATCCTCCAGTAATTGGGTCGGCGAATTTGTAGGACGAATTTGCTGGAGTCTTCGGCTAGGGCCCAGCATTGACTCTTGGGCAACATTGGCTGCAGGGCAGAGCCGCAGTTCAAGAAGGCGACGGATCCTGTACGGTATATTCGGAACGGCCCTATCAAGACAGCCCCCAATTAGCTATGGCCATGCAAGCATTTGTGGACTTGCGCAACTTACCAATGGCAATTGTCCTCTCCAACTGCGAGTGGGCAGACAAAGAGCCGGGCTCATCTGAAGGGCCACGACCTGGACTCCGAGCCCGGCCTCTGGAAGCAGCAGCGAATGCTACGATCTTGACATTGGGGTGGTTGTATAGTGTCTCGACGAGGCCACCGGCCGATGTGGACGGTGCCGGGCGTGACAAGTGTGTTGGTACCGGGGCGGTTGCGACGCGGCGAGGAGCCGGATAGGCAGGGCGAAGAGATTCCATCGTGGTATCCCTAGAGGAAGGGAGAGTGTGGGAGCTCCGCCAGAGGAGAGCAGTGTCGGCACGTATGTGCGGAAAATATCAGCTGATGGGCGAGTATTTCGAATCGGACCTGGGTCATGTCGAGGCCGACATCGAGTACATGACAGGCCTTGGGAGGAGGAATCTGTCGTCGGAGGTGACGTTCGTTGGCGTGGACGATTTCCGTCGCGTTGAGTTAGCGCGCCGGCCTTGGTCGAGAGAACAGGGCGGTGCAAGTCGGAAGCGAAAGACTGATATGATATCCGTAGCAAGGGGGTATTTTTTGGAGGAATCCGAGAGACGGGCAAACAAACGGGTCCAATGCAGCGGCGCCGGAAGGACGTGGGCCCCCTTTTGAGCCGAGCGAGAATCGGCAAGGAAATAAAATGTCTTGCTCCGGTCTCAGTACCCTTCAGATGAAGAAGAAACACTTGTGCCACCACACGACAGCGAATGGAAGGGAAGAAGAAGATGGGTGTGTAGTGTGTCCCCGGAGAAGCGAATAGGGAGTGGAGGAGGAGGGACCGGAGGATGGAGGGAGTAGGAGGAAGAGGAAAAAAAGGTTTCTGATAATTGAGATTGAGGCAGGGCGACAGGGAGGGGGGCAGCGGCGCGGCGGACGTGGAGGTGTGAGCCTGTGAGGTGGGAAAGCAAGACTAGGTGATGGATGCCAGGATGCACAAAAGATGGGAAGTGGAAGCTTGGACGGATTTGGGATTTGCTCATGGTTCGACCAGGGGTTAACGATGTCACGGCTTCTTGGGGACTCGTTCGAGCCTTTGGAGGAAACACGCGCCCGACTGGGGGGTTCTGACGCTGCCGGTTTCCTGACCATCGCGTCGCCGTTTGATAGCGATGGACCCCCGCGCCCCGCACCCACGTCCCTACTTCCAAGTGAGCCCCTACCATACGATGAGACCTTTCCTCCCTTTTCTCACGCTGAATTCCTCGTCTGACGTATCTCATCATCTCACTTTACCTCATTCGACTTGATTGCTAATGCTCAAACACAGAGGCAGACTCATGGAGACGTTAGTGAGCCTCTTGTTTGTGGTTCGACGTGAACATGCATTGCCACCTGGTAATTATAGGAGAGACTCTCAATTCCAGTATTGCGGGAGTTTGAGACAAAATGCACTCACTCACTCTCTCACTCACTCACTTGAGAACACCGGTACCCTAACTGGCTTTCACATGCTCTCTCTCTCTCACATACTTTCTATCTCTCATACCTCATCTGAGTCGGTTATGCTATATTCTCAGCACCACATCTCACCCGTCTTGTTGTGATTAACTTCGCTTTGATCTCTCACTTGCCCCCTTCTTCTTATGCACGGAGACCATCTAGATAGATCTGGAGAACAAGCTAGGATGACTAGGCTCACTGGAGCGCGCGCCCTCGTGATGTGCCCGGCCCCATCTGGAGCTAACCTGGAGATTGCACGTCGTAGTCGCTTCGCTAATAAGGTGCCGCTCTCCATTGATGATTGGGGGGTCGCAACGGGGACAGCCGACGTATCCCAGCCGAAATGCACCCTTAACTTTTTTCATGACTACTTCGTATGGGGATTGATATGGGGGAGCCCAGGGCGTTGTAATGTTCGCTTAGAAGAAAACGGCAAAGATGAGACGGGGCAACCTCAACATAAAAATCCAGTGGAAACCCTGGCATTTCAGCCGTGTCAGTAGCAGTTCATGTTTGGTCATTACTTTCCAGCTCCGCCTTGCAAATTCGCCTCTGAAAATTAAGGCTTGGAGAACTCGTGTTGCCTCGTCATTTCGGCCCTCACCGCATTCTCAACCAGAAACTAGCTTCCGAGGTTTCCAGAAAAGCTTCGAGAGCCTCGGATCCCCCATGACAACAGCCGCCTTATTCAATTGCAGATATATGACCTGGGTCTTCTACCTACCCTGAAGCAGCATGGGATATAGCAATTCAGGGACCTGCTATTGGTCCATTGAAGCTCTGAGCTTCCAAGCTTCGAGCTTTTCGAGCTTTGAGCAATGCTTGCAGGGGTTGCAGCTCTAAGCCCAGTGGACGCGTTCTGGGATGCAAGTTCGACGCGTGCGCAATGCAGCCGCAGCCGCAGCAACTCGACATGAACCGGTGCCATATCTCTGAAAATTTCAATCCACTTGGACCCGGCCATCTGAGCTGACTGGTTCTGTGCTGATGCATCACTATGCAGCTAGCCCTCATACAAGCGAATGGTATTGCGACCGAGGCGCCTTAATTGCTGTGGTTTGGTTCAGTGACTTGAAGCTGATGGCTAATCACTGTCTTTATCTGGTGAGTATCGATAAGATAAGGATAACGGGGACTGCCCGGCACTCGGTGAAGCTCGGACCATGAGGACTTTCGGATGTACCGGTTGCAGTGTCGCGAGGTATTCGTACCTTGCTCCCAGGTCTTTCAGCCACTATCCCCGGCATGGGTGTCGTCATCGTCTTGCCGCCACAGTCAGCTCCAGCTTCCGGCAAGTATAGCTTGGCCAAGCACCAGCCCTGCGCTGACATGGTCGTAGCAGCTCGTGTACCCCTCCAAAACCCTCGACAATTTGAACCTCAACACCCAGCAACGTTCGTGGTGATCGACATAGTCACTTCCACAACCTCGAGAAAACCATGGCGACCTCCGAAAAAGGTGAAAAGCGCGACAAGCTGGAAGGCCAGATCGACAAGCAGCTCGACAAACTTCCCATTGACAAGGAGAGGCTGAAGCGAGAGTTCGATCTCTCCCATTTCGACGTGAACCAGATCCTGCGGGGCATCCAGTTGACGCTAGTTGGAGGTCAGTTAATGGAACCATAGCCTCCAGTCACTCTGAGATTTGTAGACCAGGTTGAAATGCTAACCGTCGTCAAGCTCAACGAGCTCTTCAGAACCCCGCCTTGTTTACTTCAGACCACTACCGACAAGCCGGCATTGCCGTCTTGAGTGGCCTTGCCATCCGTCTCGTCATCTCCATTCCCGTATGTCTACCCTTACACCCTTACGTTGGGAGCACGAACAACCCTCGAGATACTCCTCTTTTTCCTCATGTTTGGTATTGACACTATGATAGATCGTTGGCGTCAAAGTCTTCCTTTGGATTCTCTCCTTCTTCTTGAGCCTGGACCATGTCACTTGGGACGACCAGATTGTCGGGGGCCTCAACTTCATCGAGGAATATGTATTGCAGGTCCCCTTTTTCCTCATGGCGTTGATGCGTTACGTCACCCCGACTCTCGACAATATGCAAGCCCACACCTTACCCCCAGTCCTTGAGTTTTCGCTAACACGAAGGCAGGTTCATGGACTCGCTGAACTGGGTCGACAAGACGTACGTCCAGAAACACAAGCATGAAGACCCGAACAAGCTTCGAGACATGTACTATCCCAACCTCAAGATGTACAAGGTCAGCGACGGCAGCACCCACACGACTAGCACGGCCGAAGCCATCAGCATGTTCTTGTACCGCTTCGCTCGAAAGGGTGCCATCTCCCTCGCCGTATTCGCCCTGTCTTATCTCCCCATCGTCGGTCGATTCGTGCTGCCCGCAGCCAGTTTCTACACATTCAATAACGCCGTCGGCTTGGGCCCTGCGTCTGTGATCTTTGGAACTGGCATCTTCTTGCCCAAGCGGTACATTGTTATCTTCCTGCAGAGTTACTTTGCGTCGAGGAGCTTGATGAGAGAGCTCCTGGAGCCGTACTTCTCTCGGGTGCACTTTACCAAGGAGCAAAAGCGAAACTGGTTCCGGAACCGAGAGGGATTGTTGTTCGGTTTCGCCATTGGGTTCTACACGCTGATCAAGATCCCGCTTGTTGGTGTCTTGATCTACGGTATCGCAGAAGCCTCAACGGCGTACCTGATTACCAAGATTACCGACCCTCCCCCGCCTCCCGCCGAGAAGGCTGCATTCGCTGCGAGCCAGCAAGAGTGGACGAACAAGCACGAGTTCCTCAACCTCTCCCTCGGCGATATTGATGCCATTCACCTCAAGTCGCGGCCGGCAAACCCGACAGGAGATGCGCAAAAGCACGAGTAAGCAAATCGTAAGGGAAGGGCGAGGCTACCCGTTCATCTGTCGCTTTTCGGCGTTCGCTACGTTCAATTCAATGGCGTGAATCCAGACATGCCGGGATTGTGTGACATTCCGCGGACGTTTTGCACTGGTCCTTTCTCCAACAGTACGGGTGAACGGGACCGACAAGGCGTAAACGACAGATGCCGAGATAAACAACCCCCCGGATTCCAATCAATTACGTTTTATGATAGGAGCAGTCATGCGACATGAGATCACCACGCCCTTCTTATCGATTGGTTTTTTGGGAGTGGCCGACGGGCGGAGCCAATGCGGGGGTTGCCAGACACAAGCCTTTTACGGTATCGGGTCAAAAGCTCTTATCAATGTCCCGCAGCCTGCACCCAGCTCCGCACTTGCACGGCACATTGAACGCCCCAGCAGCCACCACTTCTCACACAGTTGGGGATAGGTAATCCCATACTCGGGAGAGATAGCCAGGCGAGGCAGGAGAGAAAGGTGTCTCATTCGCTGGTTGAGATGCTTCCGAGGAGGCCAGGGCGGGGTAGTTTGGAGACATTAGCTTGGATGCATGTATATCTACCACAGACGAAGCAGATCAAATTCCGTCCGGATGGGTCTAGCACTCACTCTCATACCAAAAAGTGGACGGCTCAGGTCTATTGTCTTGGAATTGTCGCATCTTGAGACCAATCAACTTTGCATTTAATCACTTCATCATGGGCAAGACTGGTATACGTGTGGCTAACAAGGTCAGCCTTGATCAGCCGGCTTCTGAGCAACCTGGCCTGCATGTAAGTGTCTAAATGCTGTCGATTCAAGCTTTTAAACCCAAGATGTTGACAGCCAAACCAGAACAGATGGCACCCGGACAGTAAGTGCTTTGGTTGACAAGGGCCCAAGTCAAGATACCCTCTAACCGACCTCAAGTCCCCTTCTCCGGCACAATCAAAAATGGCGAGACTGTCAAGATTGAATGCGTAGACTGGTAATCCACCTCATTCAACCCCTTGTGGTTTAGTATCCACGAAACTCACACATCCCACACAGGACCGGTGGCCAGATTGGCAACAACGACTCGGCGGACGACATGCTCAACGTCGACCTGACCAAGATCCACTACCTCAGCGGTCCCTTTGAGGTCGAGGATGCCCAGCCGGGCGACCTGCTCTTGGTGGAGATCATGGACGTTCAACCCTTCGAGGACCAGCCGTGGGGCTTCACCGGTGTGTTTGATAAGAATAACGGCGGTGGGTTCTTGGATGAGATGTATCCTACCGCGTAAGTTCTTCCCATGTCTCATCACTCATTCTCACGAGCACCAACGACACTTTTCATTGATCTACGTTGGAAGAATCCTCGCACCGGCATCATCTTACCAATAGAGCACCACTGCTAACATGGCCACCCAATACAAAGCGCGAAGGCAATTTGGGACTTTGAAGGAATCTACTGCTCCTCGCGCCATATCCCCGGTGTGAAATTTGCCGGTCTAATCCACCCAGGCATCTTGGGCTGCGCACCCTCCGCCGAGGTCCTCGACACCTGGAACACGCGCGAGGGCGAGCTCATCGCCGCCAACAAGCTCGACCGCGACGTCGCGAAGCCGCCGGAGCCGATCAATGTGCATGCTGGCGCGGCGGACGCGGCGTTGAAGGAGAAGGTTGGTAAGGAAGGGGCTAGGACGATTCCTGGACGGCCTGAGCACGGCGGGAACTGCGAGTGAGTTTTGCGCGTCTTTGAGTAGTTTCCGAGTTAGATGGGAAAACTTGGGGAGGGGATGTTGGGAAACGAAGGTTACTGACTTTGAGGGGGTGGTAGTATCAAGAACCTGAGCAGGGGAAGCAAAGTCT